CTGTCATAATCTGGAGAATGAGGAACAGAACCTGGTCTTAATAAGTGAAAAAGTAATGGGGTCCTCAAGTCCCAGCACTGCCTCGAGATTGCAGTGAATCAGTGAGCAATCTGGCCCTGTCATAAGAAAAGGATCACAACTTTAATTTGCAATGAGAATATACTAGTACTGTTAAGACCTGATTTGAAAGACAAAAGGATTTTTAATTCTTCTGACCTACTTGAGCAACATGAAACAAACGTATTTTTGAGAAAATAAATGGGAAAGGGTCGTGTTCTCTCATCCTCTGCATTTCATGGCCACAGTCTTAACTTGGAAAGTCCTGGGGCAGAGACCACAACTGAAACAAGCAGCATCTGAAAAACCAAACAGCCATTGCCCAATTCCCAGCAAGTTTCCACTGTTCCAAATAATCATGAAATTAAGGTAACAAATAAGCCACCATATTGTATTTTGCAAATCCTAGCTCTCCAAATATGCCAATCTTAGCTCATGAAAGGAGTTGCTTTTAGGGAGGTTGTGTGGTTGTTTGTTTATTAGACAGAGCAGTGGAGAGGAAAGAAGAGGGATTGTTACACCCCAAATTATTTTTTTAAAACAAAGGTGGAGGTTGGGAAAAGGATAAAAGGACGAAATGGACAAAAATAATCAAATTTGGAAGAAAGGATGCAAATTAAACAGGCTTGGAAGGAGTTAGTAAAGCGCAAGCAAGACACAGAGACTAAACTAAAGTTAATTACTTTTGACATGATCAGATCATCTGGTTGCATTTCAGGCTGCTTGCACTCTGGGCTGGCCAGCATGAATGGCGAGGGAAAAGAAAGTAACTCTCCCCTCTAGGTCCCTTTGCCAAGTCTGGGCTGCGCGCTCTGTCCGAGATCCCTCTTTCTTTGCGCAGAGAGAGAGAGGGGGAGAGGAGAGAGAAACACAGTTAACCACCTGTCAGGGCTGAGGACACAATAAGGCAGCCCCCAAAAGAGCTTTTCATGCATGCGTAATATATTTGTTCAGCTATTCACTTAATGAAGCTGATAAATGTGATGCGAAACAATAGTCAAGTTAATCTATTTAGTAAAATGTTTTGAGACTCTCAGGCGATGTTAAGGAGGGTAGTGTGCTCGGGGACATTTTCATTTCAATACGCTCATCTCTCCCCTCTTAGGGGGGTTTCAAGCAACCTATGTGAATATAATTTCTTATAAATGTGTCTTTAATGGGTTTAATTCACCCTTGCCAGCTGTTTTTTTAGCTATTTTGTAAGAGCAAAACAAACGTGCCAGGCTTGGAAAGCTAGTTAAAATTAGTTTCGGTCACTGGGGCCAAGCTATATTTCCTGCAAACCATCTGCTTGATTGGCACAATAGAAGGATTTTCAAGAAAAGGGGGGATCTAGAAGAGCTTTGAACGAACCAACAGTTACTGTTCCTTGTGCTTGAATTCTAAAGGTGAAGACTTAGGTGTCTTAATACAGCCTCGCCCCCGCAGCCTCCATTCAAGCTGCCGGCGTGGCCGATGAGCATCTTTAGGGAGCTGGGACACATCAGGGACGGAGCATCCCTCTCTCCTTCCGCCGCCCCCTCACCGGCAGAAAAAAAATTAAGGTGTAAAAAAAAAAAAAAAAAGAAAGAAAGAAAGAAAGAAAGAAAGAAAACAGCCCAAAACGCTCGCACACACGATTTCCCCGCAGCTTAGGGGAAGGAGAAGCCGCGGGACTTGCGAGACCGGGCAGCCGGTGCGGGGGGCGGAGCGGGAGTCGGCTGGTCCCTTGTGGAGCGGCTCCCGCCTTGGGGAGAAACGGAGAAGTTTGGCTTCCACCTGGCTGCGGGAAGCGCCCGGCGGGGGCAGGGGGTTGTCCCGCAGAGCGATGTCCCGCGTGGAGCCGGGAGCAGTGCCGTGGCGGTGATTGAGACGTCCGTCTCCCGGGGCCGGGGATGCGGGAGAGGGATGGGGCTCCCGGGCGCGGCTCCGCGCCGCCGGGGGGGCGCCAGCCCTGCCCAGCCCAGCCCTTTGGTCTCCGGATTTGAAGTGCTGGCTCTCCCAATTTCATGCGGATTACCAGCCTCGGACCGGGACACACGCAGCTTCAACCCCCAGCTCCCCCTCCCCACCCCCCACCCGTCAGCGATTTTGGGTTTGGGCTCTTTTTCCTTTTTTTTTTTTCACGTGACAAAGAAAGTGAGTGACTTTTAAGAAATAAATTTGAAGATAACGACATTAAAATGAATGGCAGGAAGCACAAAACTGCCTGAGCATAGGTCAAACGGCATTAGTCACAGGTTTTATCCTGAGACATTAGAATTCCCTTTCTCTTAAATGATCACTGCCTTTGAAAAGAAACTTCCAAAGGAGATCACTTAAAATAAGATCCTTTCGTCTGATTTCTTGGTTTCTTATGGTCTATCTTCCCTTTCAATAGATGTCTAGTCCCTTTTGCCGTGGTGCTTAAGGAATTCTTTATGAGTGTGCTCAGACGCATCACAAGGAACCGGGTCCACGCGTGCCCCAGCATGCGCTTGACCCAACCTTCCAGAAAATGTCAGCCCCTCTTTTTTAAAACCAGAGAAATTAGCAGCAGTTGGTCTATAGTGAGGCAAAATGCCCCCGATGTATAAGTAAAGAAAGGAGTAAATCATCTCAAAGGAAACGTATAATGACTGTAAAAAACTAAGTGTTCTCGGAACAGCCCGGGCGGAGCTCACTTGGGAAACGCCGGGATCGCGAAGGCGGCTGCGAGAGGGACAGGGAGCAGGGGATGGAGATGGGACCGGGGGCTAGCGGGGACCCAGGTAATTATTTTATTGGGAAAGCCCCGTTTGCTTTTTCCTTTCGCTACCGTCCCGCTCGCTCGCTAAATAACACCTCGAGAGAAGCGCTGGGAATGACCGGGTTTGGGATGAGCCCGGAGCGCTGTGGGTGGGGGCGAGAGGAGCGCTGAGCCCACAGCAGGGCGGGGCAGCCCCCGCTTCCCCCCCACACCCACCGACACCGCGGGGCCTGGACGGGGCAGGGGGCAGGTGGCGGGGACCCGTCTGCACCCCTGAGCCCTCTGAGTCTGCCCACGCCTTGCTTCCCTTTTTTCTTTACCTGCTAAGCATCAAGATTAACAAAACTGGGGGGGGGGGAACTCCGGCGAGGTTTTATTTCAAAGTGATGCTTTCAGACAGCGGACCTTCCAAGTCAGCCTTCTGCAGGTGCTCGTCTGCTGGGGGCCAGCGTACAGCACCGGGAAAGCTTGTCAGGATCATACAATTTCGAGGGCTGATTCCATCCTCTCTAATAAATAACTTTTTTATTTGAATCAAGGGAGAGGTTTAACAGACTTTCTTTCTTCCCTAATGTGATATAAATCGCAGATGCACTTTTATTGAATGGTTAAAGCATCGACATGGAGATAATCAACACAAAACGTCCGGACAAAAACCATCGAGAGAAATAAAGCTGGTTAATAAGATTTTTGAGAAAGCTTTGTGTTAAAAAGTAAAAAGGGAAAACAGCTGAAGGTGACAGTTAGTTCATGGTTAATAGGATAAAGGCTGCATGGTTGAGCTGCACACTTCTGCTTGCAAAGGTTCAGACACACCAAAGGACTGAATAGGGTGCTTTTAAAACATAGGACATTTAACACATCTGTTATAGTCTTTAACAGAGAAATCAGGTTAAACCACTCTCAAAAATTGCTTTCATCATCCACCTCCAAAAGAAACTAACTACACTTGCACCTGTTTCCGTGTTTGCCACCACAAACAAAACCTCTTTGCCGGGAAAATCAAGATTTGCTACTTTTCTCTTATGTCATTTGTCCCTCGCACCAACGTTAGGGTACTCCGGGCTCTGCTGCACTGACCTAACACACCTTCCGAAACCCTGCACACGCCCGCAGATAAAAACCGAGATCAGGTGAATTTGGCTGCTTCGAGACATCTACACCGACAAAACCGAGAGCAGCTCAGGCAACTACAGCCAAAAGGATCCAAATGCTACAATGTCTATTTTTAATGTAGATAAGCAACAGACTGAGAACCCGAGGGGGTTGCTCTGGTCCCACAAAGCTGTTCACGTCTGTCCTGTGTGCAGTACTCAGATTTTGTGGGAGCGGAGTTCTTATCGGCCACATCAAGGCTCACATTTTGAGCCAGTCTGGGCAAGCCCCTCGCCTGAGCACACGTACGCAAGACTTTTACGAAGCTCAGATCTTGCAAGGAGAGGCTGAGACCTCAAATATGCTTTATTCCGGACCTTTGACGCGCGGATAGATAAATAACCCCAACTACATACACAGATTTTGGCGCATACTAATAGCAGGGGCAGAATATGCTCAAACCGTAGTGGGATTCGCTCTCCCAGTATTTTCCCCCTTCAACAGAGCTTAGTTCCACTTTTTCTAGTTTGTATTTTCAAATTCACAAAACCCGTGCTTTTCTAAGAGCCCACAGATAAGTTTATATGAATATTTATTGATTTATTTCCTAAACTCAGCAGGGGAGCAGCAAATAAATTTAGTGCTTTCTTTAAATAATTCCCTTTCTACGAGGCAAGATGTCATTCGAAACTTTTAAATAGGCATTTAATTAGCCTGTGTGTGTTGCCTCTGAACAAAACCCTGCTGGGAGCCTTTGGAGCGCTGTATTCCAAAGAGGCGGTCAATATGCAAAATTGATGACTACACTTTCTTTGTGGCGGGGCCATTGTGCCCCGGTTGCTTATGAAGTCTAATCCAATCATAAATTGCAGCCCCGGACCAATGGAGAAGCCGGGAGCTCGCCCTGAATGAAGCTCAAGTGGAGAACTTTGTTGAACCCCATTGTTGGGGCTGTCACTTTTGAAAGAGCCTCAGCGGGGCTGACCACTATAAAACTCATGGTCCAGGAGGAAGGGGCAGAGAGAACTCCGCCAGACTCGCTGGCTGGATCTTTACCAACCCAGGTTTGCAAAGCAGAAAACAAAAGCAAACAAACAAACAGGCAAGCGGCCCCATCCCGGCTCCGCGGACGGCCCCTGCGATGATGTTCCCCAGCCTCATCGCCCCTCCAGCCGTCTACCCCAGCCTCCTCCGGCCGACCCCCACCCTCACCTTGCCTCAGTCTCTGCAATCAGCTTTTTCCAGCCATTCCAGCTTCCTGGTGGAAGATTTGATCCGGATCAGCAGGCCCACCAGTTACCTGCCCAGGACTGCCCCCCCGTCCAGCATGTCTCCCCCGACCTCGGCGGCCAGGACGGACTCGGGGACGCCGGAGCTCCCCAGCTCCACCACCGCCGGCTCCAGGAGGATCTGTTCGCCGCAGACTTCAAGCAGCGACTCCACTTTCCTGAAGTTTGGAGTCAACGCCATTCTCTCCTCCGCCCCCCGAGCCGGTAAGCGGGGTAACACCTCGATCCAAGCCGCAGGTCGGCGGCTCCGGGGACGCACTGCCCGCAGGAGGTGTTGACGGGGATGGGGGGAGAAGAGGGAGCTTTAGGAAAGGGAAGGAGGACCTAGTCCCGAACTGCAGAGCCCTCCGGCGTCGCTCGTGTTGCACGGGCGAGGGGCAGCGCTGGCGGGCGGCTGGTCCCGCTCCGCAGCGGGACGGACGAGAGGCGCAGGTGGGGGGGGGGGATCCCAGAGACGAGAGGTCCCACAGCCGTGTCTCCTGGCCGGCCCTGCCCTCACGGGTGCCGCGTTGCTGGCAAAGCCAGCAAAAATGCCATTTTTCCTCGGCTGTTCCGAGCTCAGTCTGGCTCTTTTTTGTTTTTGAAAAGTATCACTGCGTTGGTTCCCAGACCAAGGGACAGACCCAGCCGTGCCGTCGGTCGAGTAACCCCACGGTGGTAACCCCACGCTTAATTTAATTTTATTTATTTACTAGAAACCTCCCCTGCGTTGCTTCAGAGCGTCCCGCCAAAGACTTTCTCCTTTCCGTACTTTGAAGGATCCTTCCAGCCCTTTATCAGATCTTCCTATTTCCCAGGTAGGTATTTTAAAAGTCTCCCTCTCTCCAGGCGCATCCCGGTGATATTTCTCCGTCCCCCCCGCTCGCCCCGTCGGGGTTATGCTCCAGTTCAGAGGTTGGAGGGAGTACAACATTCAAGCATCAGTCGCGCCAATTTGCTGCCCGATTTAGCACAGGCAGTGACTGCCTGACATTCCCTGCTCGCTCCCCCGCTGATCCGCAAATTAGCCGGGATTGTCACGGTCCTGAGGCGAGGCGGGTCCCTTCTCTCCCTCCCTCCTCCCTCCCTCCCACCGCTGAGCCGCGGGACCGCTACGCGGATTTCAGCACCACGAGGAGCGGTCAGCGCCCGCCGCCCGCGCTCCGCGCTGGCGCAGGGAGGGAGGGAAAGAGAGAGGAAGGGAAAGAGGAAGGGAGGGAGGTGGCCCGGTCCCCGCCGCCCTATGTGTCCCCCAAACCTCCCGCCCCCGCCAAGTTGCAGGAGGATCGGTCGCACTGCGAGAACGGCGTGACTGCTCTCACCCTCCTCCACCTCCACCGCGCACTCACCCTCCCCTCCACTACCTCCACCTCGTACTAACGCTTTCCTCCTCCACCTTCCCGGTCAGACCATCAAACAACGTGGTGCAGGCGACAAAGCAGGCTAGGGGAGTATGATTCTTACAGCACTGAAGTATTATGATGCTGGGAGAACAATTAAAAAAGACACCCCGAAATCTAATTACACAAACAAGCTATTAATTTAAAAAGAAAACAGGGAAAGGGAGAGAGGAAAAAAAAAATAACCCAAGCTCTTCCATTCATCCTCCGGATAATGGAATTTGCTTCCTTTCTCCAGCATGTGAATAGCCTAACAAAAACAACTTGAGCTTTATAAATAGCTTTTCATGTCCATTTAATGAAAATGATTTGGGGAAAGAGACGATTGTGCCATCAGTATTCTCCCGAGGAGCCTGGCATGCCGTTGTGTTTAGTTTGAAAGTGTAAATCTCTTTTGTTCCAATAATATATGGCGTTAGCTGCTTGTCCTCAGTCTTTTTCTGTTAGTTCATTACTACACAATTACCATTCACGCTTCATTAGCATCTCTGTCTCTCTTGGGGAGGTTCCCCCCTCCTTTTTTTTTTTTTAAGGCGAAACTCTGCCCTTTTTTATCATACTAATGCCATTGGGAACCAGGCAGTGTGCTAATTAGCTGTTACTTTTCATGTCTTCGAATTGAATTCTCCAACTTTGGAGGGTGGGGGGAGAGAAGAGATTATTATAAAAAGATGAATACTGATTGATCAAAACTACATCTGAAGAGGAGCGGTTTTGTTTGGAATCAGAAAAGTCCTCATTTTCATTTTGAGCATAATAAAGCATCTGAAATGATAAAAGCATCTGAAAAAAATCAAATGCTTCTGAGTGGGAGGGAAAGCTTTTTTATTATACCTCTATCTTAGCTGGTACGCCTCGCTTTGCCTTTTCAGGCCGGAGACCTTTGAATCTCCCAACAAAAACGGCCACTATTGATCCATTTTACACATTTGAGTTGATAGATCTAATCCCGGCAATTGCTGCCTGAAAGGCAGATGCTTAGTTAAGCCTAAAGCTTCTTTTCATGTCCCAGGTTGATGAGTGCCCGCCCGAAGGGCAGGGAGGGGTGGTGGGGCCAGTCCCGCGCTGCTCAGTACTGTGTGTCCCCCCACAGCTGCCTCTGCCGTGGTCCCCATCCCTGGCACCTTCTCCTGGCCGCTGGCTGCCCGCGGGAAGCCCCGCCGGGGGATGCTGCGCCGCGCCGTCTTCTCCGATGTGCAGCGCAAAGCGCTGGAGAAGATGTTCCAGAAGCAGAAATACATCAGCAAACCCGACAGGAAGAAGTTGGCAGCCAAGCTGGGCCTCAAGGACTCACAGGTTAGAGGGGCATCAGGTGGGGAGGGAGGAGGACCCCCCCTCCTGGGGGCAGCTGGAGAGAAAGGGAAGAGAAGGGGATGGGAGTGGGGAGAACACTCAAAGCAAGTTAACAGGACTGTGAGCATCCACAGAGGCAAAAATGGCACGATTCCCAGCTGGGTGAGTAGGACCACAGCCTTCTTACCCTCTCTTAGGGTCTCCCAAAGATCAGATTCTCTGGTTCCTGTTGGATTTGGCATGGACATGTGCAGGGTTTCAGGAGTGCAAGCCAAACACTTTTCTGGTCCCTGTTTTACTGAACCACTTAAATTCTTTGTTGCTTTGATCCCTAGGTGAAGATCTGGTTCCAGAACAGGAGGATGAAATGGAGGAACTCCAAAGAGAGAGAGCTCCTCTCTTCAGGTGGCTGCAGAGAACAGACCCTACCTACCAAGTTCAACCCTCACCCAGACCTCAGTGACGTAGGCAAGAAATGTTCAGGAGAGGAGGAGGAGGAGGAAGTTCCCCCTGTGTGCCCACCCAGCCCCCGGCATCCCTTAACCTACCACCAGTCCACAGAACATCTACACCTGAGGGACAGACTGGACTCCCAGATGTCTCCTTCGCCATCCCATTCCAGCAGCCCCAGCAAACCTTCAGACTTCTCAGACTCAGAGGAAGAGGATGATGAAGGGGAAGAGGAAGAGGAGGAGATAACTGTCTCTTAGATCACTTGCCTGCCCCTACCATCACATGGGGACACTGCAAAGATGTAAATAAAACAGAGTGCTATAAATTGAAGAGGTGATGTCCCACCCCAATGTCCACATGTTTCTTCAGTGCAGGTTCTTTGTCACATAGTTGCAAGCCTTCCTACTCACTGGTATTCCTTATTCGTTGCTCCATGTGGAGGTTTTCATATTCACAGTATCTGCCAACCTTTTCATAACTCTCTCTGCTTAACAATCAATATTTGCTCAATTAGCTTACCTTCTCCCAAAACACAGGCAACAGGCAGCTCCTGGCTTTACAGCAGGGAGGAAAGTATAGCCTGTTGGAAGGAAAACTTTTTTTCCCCCTGATAAGGAATATCAAAAAATACAATATAGATGCTGTGGCCATTTTTGCTACTTTTCAAGTGAATTTCCAGCTACTATTAAGATATCAAAACCCTGAAAACTGGTCTGATCTAGCAACCCTTTCCTCCAAAAGTAAATGACATTGAGGGACACAGACCAAATGCTACCTCCCTCCTCATACCAAATAGCACCATACTTGTGCATCAGATCCATTGAAATCCCTGGAATGACTTCTAAGGTATAATGTAAATGTGCCTTGTGTAACGGAGATCATATATATTTATGTTTTTCATTTTAATTTATGCCTCAATATTGCATTCAAGGCACTGTCTAACCCATCTTTTTGCCCACAGGCTTGTGATTATTTTCTACTTTGCTTCTTCTATCCATGGTGTGGACAGAGGAAAGTGGATACACCTCTTTGATTTTTGACTGAACTTTGCTGTCTTTGCACAGCTTATATGAACTGTACACTATTTTGTACACTTACTCTGTATGGATGTTTTATACCAAGGTTATTGTGAATGAATATAACAATGGGCTCAGCAACGCTTCTCTCCCTTTTTTTTTTTTAATTAAATGACAGCTAAACTACAGATGAATGTAGCTGTTTAACTGTGTAACTTATAAAGAAACACTTTTATTTTGTATTTGACCATGTACAGACTTTAAATATGTATATATATTAAAGTGGATGATTGTCAAATAAAAGAAATGTAGATTTCCAAATTTGATCATTCAGTAATACTTGGTTCTGGTTAACAAGTTGCTGTAGCTTCTGTCTGGGAAAGAAAACTACTTTTTATCAACGTATGGTGATTCAATAAGAATTTATCAGTTTCAAATTAAGTAACTTTACAAGAATATCTACCTGCCTTTTAACTAGGGAGCAACTCAACCAGAGGATTGAAGATTTTCTGCAGTTAAAATCCAGTTGCATTTAAAAGCAACTTAATTTGTGCTCTCCTCTAAATGTCTTCTGACTCTCCTCCTTCATCCAAGTTAAAGCCCTGGTGGGTCAGGGTGTGGACACTTATTGACACATCACTGACTAAGACACTATAGTTTGTAGACTGGGAGCATATAATTAGACTATTCCTAGAGGACAGACAGAGTGAAAAAGGTTCACTGAGGACAACTCTGTAGCCTTAAGACCAGTCAAGGATCACTACTACAACACAAGGCAAATCCATAACTACCTACCTGCTTATTTCTGTTAGATACTAATGCACACTATGGAAATGTCAGTGTTTTCTGCCTTGCAGTGTTCTTCTGAAATAGATTTCATTACAAAACTAGTATATTTTCTGCTCCATAGTCTCTAATGCCCACTATTCACACACACCAAAACAAAAGAAACAAATGCAGCAGATTGTCACCTAGGACACAACTATTCCTGTATGCTCCACCTCATTGTCACAGCCCCAAGGGAAGGTGTGAAAGGAAGAGGAGAATATTTCCAGTTGGAAGGGACCTACAAAAATCATCTAGTCCAGTTGTCTGATAATTTCAGGGCTGGCCAAGAATTAAAGTATGTTATTGAAGGGCATTGTCCAAAACCCTCCTAAACACTGCCAGGCACAAGGTGCAACCTACCCCTGCTAGAAAGACTGTTCCAGGTCTTTAACTACTTTCCAATTAGGTAATTGGACACATCTAAGTTGAGACACATTGTGACATTCATAATTTTCTACCTCTCTGACACCTTAAAGCCATTAGCAATTACTAACATACACCTGAGATAGGGCAAGTGGAATGGAAAAAAAAATGGAAAAGGCACAGACAGTATTTATCCCACATAACACAAGTGAAACAGCAAAAGGGTTTGTTGGGTTTGGTTTTATTGTGCTGTTGTTCTGTAAAAAAATATTTTCCTAAGCATACCTAAAACTTCACAGAAATGTGCATTAAACTGGTGCAATTGCAACCATGGTCAAATTTAAGAGCTGTTACATGCATTACTACGGTGTATATACTGGAAGATGTGTTGTTATCCATCTGTTGGCTCTTTAAGTGATAAAACACTCAACAGCAATAATTTATAACTTAAAATTAACTAGTCCAGTGTCATGGATTAACCCCAGCCAGCAGCCACTTGCTCACTCCCCCACCAGTGGGATCAGGGAGAGAATCAGAAAGGTAAAAGCTGGAAAACTCTTGGATTGAGATTAAGAGTGTAACAGGGAAAGCAAAAGCCATGCACACAAGCAAAGCAAACCAAGGAATTAACTCACTGCTTCCCATGGGCAGGTAGGTGTTCAGCCATCTCCAGAAGAGCAGGGACCCACCACAGCAACAGTTCCTTGGGAAGACAAACACCATCACTTCCTCCTTCTTCTCCAAACTTTATATACTGAGCATGATGTCACATGGTCTGGAATATCCCTTTGGTCAGCTGGGGTCACCTGTGCTGGCTGTGTCTCCTCCCAACCTCCCATGCACCCCCTGCCCACCAAGGCAGTATAAAAAGCAAAGGCCTTGGCTCTACGCAAGCTCTGTTCAGCAGTGAAAAAACCCCAACTCTACATGATCAACTCTGTGTTCAGCACAAATCCAAAACACAACCCTACACCAGTCACTGTGAAGAAAATTAACTCTACCCCAGCCAAACCCTGCACATCCAGCTAGCATAAGACTATAGTTAAGTAATTTATAAAGACAGATCTAATTCAAAACATATTTTGTTTTGTAATCCAGTGGCTACTCCAGAGACCATAGGTACCATCACACATACTAAAACACTCAAAAAAGGAACATGTTCAAAAGAAAACAGGTATTGCTTATACATAACCTCTCCTGATTCATTGTTCAACAGAAAACTGCTAATCTTCTTATACTCTCTGCTCTTTACAGCTTGTCTGTTCTAGGAACATTATCAAAAATAACTACTTAAGACTGCTTCTTTCACCATGAGGACTATTACATATTATGCTGTGAGACAAATAGCCTTACTAAAGGAAAAATAACATGGAATTGTCATTTAACATTTACCCAAAATGTTACATTTATTAATCTTACTCTTCTTTCTTTTCCCCTTTCAAGGGCCATTTTTTTTAATGGCAAAAAGAACGTTGTGTGACTACTAAGGACAACCATTTGAGATTCAGGAATACCTTGCTATGAAATTAAAGAGCTAGTTTTTTTATTTACCAACAGCTGCCACACCGCATCTGTGGCTGCAGGAAGGGGGTTTCCTTCTCCAAGGCTTCCCTTTTATGCTCTGGACGAGGAATCCAGAGATCACAGCTGCCATGGGATGGCTCATGGGGCACAGCTGTGCCAAGGGAAGTACTACAGAAGTAGCCACCCTTTCTGAGGTCTTATGTCAAAGCCATAAACTTATTCTCTTACCTCAAATGTGGAGAGATTCTAGTCACAGTAGGAGGATCTAATGGTAACTGGGTTTGTCGTGGTGTGCATGATATTGGGAGTTCAGCTTGGGTGTATTTCTGAGAGAAAAATGCTTCACAATTTGCTGTTAACATACAGAGTGCTGGAGCACTTATGTGAAACTAGCTCAGCTCTCTTTCTATATTTTTAATACATCTCTCTGTGTGCTTTGGGAAAGGAGGAAAGGTGATAAGAAGCCTTTCCTGCCTTCATGGAGATGGAAAGATTTCTGCAATTTCTTCCACAGTTTTGGAAACTCTGGTAATCCTGTATGTAATACACTCCCATAACAACTGCTGCTTTATGATATTAAAGTGTCCTTTCGAAAGACTCAGCAGCCCAGAGGGGTCTTGTATGTCTTTTCTTCCTTCTCAGAGCCAGGAGGGAAATCTCTGAGACTTGGGAATGGGTAAGGCAGAGAGGGGGATTTAATGTTGGTGACTGTGAGCTCAGGGCAGTAAATTCTCAATTATTTTATCCCTTAAGAAACCAGCTGGTTCAACATCTGTGCCTGCTGTAACTCTGATCTCCCCCAGCATGGGAGAATGGCTTTTGGACAAGGGAAGAAAAGAAAATAAATCACTTTCTCAGGGAGTCTGTGCTGTTGCTACCTGCAGAGCTGTACCGTGACAGCCCCAATGTGTGCCCCTCTGGTCCCCCTCCCTGGTCCAGTGGCTTCTCAAGCAGTGCCCTGCACAAGTGGAAGAAGAGTGTGAAGCTGAAAATTGTGGAATAACATTGCCAGAAATACTGTTGTGAATGAGGTTCAGTGGCTCTCACAGACCTGAGCTTATGAGGTTGTTCCTCCCCCACCGCGCTTGGGCTTTGTGTCCTAACATCTGTTCTGCACTGGGTGGTGCTGGTTCATTATGATCCCAGTAAAGAGATATTAAATGCTATTTATTAGAGCTAACACTGTAAGCTGAGAGCAGCAGAGACAATCTTATGTCCTTTTAGATGCTGGGAACGCTGAGTGGTGTAGCATTGATGGGGCTCCTATCCACACACAGCATACTGGTCACACCCCATCGACAGGTGTGGTAATTCCAGCTGTCTTAGGAGGGTTTTTCTCCTTACAGCAAAAGAACTCAACCATTTCTGCTGTCAAACAGAAAGGATGTACTCATGAGAACTTCTTGCTGCATGGTTAGATAAAGCCATGGACACATGGGTGGGTGAACCCCTTGGCACCCAGCAGGGGCTGCATGCAGGCTCCTCTGTTAGAGTGGGCTGAGTTTATCCCCTGGACAAGGGATTTGTGCATCACAACACAGGTCTGAAGGCCAGCCTGTTCCCATGGCAGAGGGCAGAACAGCACAGCACAGTCCTGGGCATACTCAGGTTAACTGTTATGTGGATCACCAGCTCCTTGATGTACAATGGCCTTTCAGTCAGGATTACTACAAGATATCAGTGGAAGTACAACATCTTCCCGTCTGCCTGTGGATCCCATCTTATGTAAGGTCCTTCAGACCTCCTAATTGTGCAGGCCCACATGGGTGAACTTCGTAGAGGAGCAGGAGGAATTACTCATGCTTAGCCAGAGCATGGTGTCCATCCCTTGTAACAGGCTCAGCCTCCCTGAGTCTCCAGCCGTGGAGCAAATCAGAA